CCACCTTTTCGGGACCTTCTCGCCATGAGGAACCCATATTCAGACTTTTCCGCGCATGAAAATGCGCAAAAGAGCTTTTTTGAAGTTTCCCAGGTCCGCATTCAATGCATACGTAAGTGGGCGGAGCTAAAGGAGGAAGGCGGGGCGCGAAAAACTAGGCGTATATGCATTGAATGCGGACCTGAAAGGCTTCGAAAAAGGCTAATTTTCGCCATTTTCATGTTTGGAAAAGCCCAGATATGGGTACCAGATGGGGAAAGTCCCAAAAGGTGAAAAACTTGAGAACGAAATTCTGCTGAGTCGCTGCCTTTAAGTTTTTACGTACGCTACTGTCACTCTGAGATTTTCTTGGAGGTAGTCCAGCTTTTCTTCTCATAAAGCGGTCGATATGCGTTCTTCTTCCATTGGCATTTGAAGTATAGCATGTACTGTAGATATTGTAAGCATCCAGTTTATCGGCAGCACTTAGTATCTGGAAATGCTTATCAATGGCCATATTCCAGCAAGAACAAGCTTAAGATTTCCAATAAAATTTTTTGAAAACTCTTAATCTATCCAATTCCATAGGAAGTCGCTTAGACTGATATTTTACTGAATCGAGAATCGCTATTGGTATATTTTATATTATTTTACAACGAACTCAAGGTGCACCAAACCGAAAAGTAATAGAATAAAAGCACTGAACGAACATGACACCAGTCATTTCTATGCCTTAGGGGGGATAAATGTGAAGTGGGAGGAAGAACAAGAAAATGAAAAGTATCGCAACGATATGATCAAGACAGTTATTAAAAGTGGTTTCAAATCAGCTGGTCCTTAAAAGTTTACCGAAATCCAGTTTTGAAACCTAGTGTTATGATTTTCTCTTTCTCGGAGATTCGTGTTGATAGGATATCTCACAAATAGTTACACTTTCTGATATATTACATTCATATGATATAAAAAATTTTCGAGTCATGGAATGAATTTTTCCCATTTCTGATGCAAGACTAAGCCTCGGGATGGTATTGAATTAGTGAGAAAAATATGCTGCAGATCGTTTGCGATATGAGTGAAAAAGGGTTCCAATCCTGTTAAAGCTGCTCACCTCAAGCACAAGTGGTTTACATACGGGATTGTCGTAGGCTGTTATGATGTCACAGCTTTCGATATTATTTTTGCAGCAAGTGGATGAGAAATTTCGGTACAATCTGTAGCCAAATTTGACGATGAGAAACAATGGACGTAAGAGATGGATTTCTCACTCGTCTCTCACCAAACCATGGTAGTAGTAAAGAGGGACCATTGTGTCGTAATTGTGGAAAAAATCTAGAGCTCCATTACCAATAGCCATTCCCTGAATACGAGAGTTCTGATAGATACTTAAAACAACAAATCACTGAAAAAAATAAGAATACCTTGAAATTAGGAAAATTCGTTGAATCACCAAGCATTTTGATTGCAAGAGTTGGAAGATAAACGCCAGCATATGATTCTCCAGTGATAAATGTGGTTCTCCCGCGATATTCGGGAAATTTTTCCAGGAAGTTCATCTAAACTCGTTAACATACAAGCTCAGTTTTGAAAATTACAGGAAAACTTACAAAAGCGTTATAATTATGCTGCGCAACATCATCATCATTCGTAGACACATTACCATTTGTATTGAACGAAAATCCTACTCCTGATGGCGATTCAACAAATAGCACATTTGCAAACTGAAACGGAACAACATGTGCAAAACTTGAGCATAGTTCCATACTTACCAGATTCCATGAATATTCGTTAGCGTACACATTCGCTCCATAATCATTGATTTTGAAGGGACCCAGCTCCTCGAAGAGGCCTAAACAAAATTTCACAACAATTTTTTTGTCCGCCGGAATTGTTCTCAGCCATAATAGTGGCGGACTTGTGTAAGGAGACGGGTGAGGGGGAGGGGGGAGGACGAACATTTGAGAGGATCTACATGAGTTATAAAACTGTCATGCTTAGGGCCGCATGCATTAACATCCCTGCTGGGGAAGGGA